GAGGGACGGGGGAGGAGGGGCGGGGGGGCAGTCTATACTGCTGCAAGTGGCTCATTATACAGTCCTGGACAACTGTAGACCAATCAGAGACCTCCTGCTATTTAATAACCCCCCCTGGGATGAGGACACACAGAGAGGAGGAAAATGAGGGCAAACTGGAATAATAAAAAAAAAATAATATAAATGTTTATAAAGTCGTGATGGAGGGATGTGATGTTTTAATTAAACATAAACAGTTTCGTCCTAGTATTCATCGGAGTAAAAATATTTCCTCCACACCGGAAGAACATGTGAAGTACCAACAACCACCACCAGGGGATCAAACCAGTGAGTTCCTGGTGTAAGGCTCGAGCAATAACCTGTTTGCCACCGCTCAGCCCTGTCGACTCATTAGAGATTTGAAGATTTCAAAGCTTTGAAGAGAAGAACGAGGTGAGGAGGTCGGTGTTAAACGCGGTGGCGACGGAGCAGCTCAGAGCTGGAGGCTAACGAACACAGGAGAGGATTACTGTAAAAATAGAAAGGAATGAGGGGATAAGGCAGAGACTCCGAGGGAGATTACAGTAAAAATTTAAATGTGCCAGAGAAGCTGTTTGAGGAGGGAAAGACTCTCCCTGTGATGCTGCTGCGTCTCCTCTCTGAGGAGCAGGAGGAGCAGGAGGAGCAGACCGACGAGACGCTAACCTTCAAACCAATCCCTGTTTTCTTTGTGGATTAAATTAAAGAAAATTCCATTTTATACCTGCTTTCCTGCACCACAGTCTCCCACAGCGTGACATTTACTGACTGGTTTGATGCCCTGTCCACTGTTCTCACCACGACACTGCTGTCGCTTTCTTCCCTTTCCATTTAACCACCACCAATCACAGAGCACACACACACACACACACACACACACAGCTGTAGTTATGGCTGGTTTTCAATGAACAGAAGTGGATTTTCTGATGGGATTAACCAGAGTGAGAACAGACGCCCGCAGCTCCAGCTTTGGCGAACTTCAGAACGATGTAAAACAAATGTTTGTGTTGGTTTAAATAAAGCTGTAAAAAAACTGGGCCTAAATCAACACGGCAAACAACGCAGAGAGACTCAAAGTGTGGTTCACCTGCGTTAACACACTCATTCACACACACACTGTTCACACTGCAGGGGTTTGGACTGTGAGAGGAAACACACACACACACTGGGAATCAAACCCTTGACTTTCTTGCAGTAAGGCAAGATCATGATCACTGGAAACATATCACCGTCCGACCACCGAACCCAATCCTTTCAGGAGAAACCCTCCAGTGTTTAACAGTTTTTAACAAAGAGGTCAAAACATCCGACCGTCGTTCAGTCAGCGCGCCCTGCTGTCGGCCGAGTGTACTGACCGGTCGTTCGTATTAGTCACGGACGTTGGCATGACTCGGTTCAGTCACAAATATTAAACGTCATTTAAACGTGGAGCCAAATACAAACCAGGGTGAAGGAGCCGTGTAGGGCCCAGGAGCCACGGGTTGCAGACCTCTGAGCCCAAACCAATGGTAAAACAGCAGCCGTGCCATTTAAGTGGCGCTGCATCACTAAGTCATACGGAGTAATTGTTCACTAATTTATTAGTCATAACATTTTATGGGTTGATATCACAGCTCAGTGATCACAGCCAGGCGGCTCTGGACCGTCTGCCCTGCAGCACAGAGGAGGAAGATGCCCCCCCGACTCCCCCTTTACCCCCTCCCCCCCACTGTAACTAACTATCAACATGAAAAATAACAGACACGCTCCATCAATGGATTACTCTAGTTTTAATACAGACAACACCACAGTCCATTAGCTTCAGATGTTCCTGGTATTATTCCTGCTTTATGTCGACTATATCACAGGTCCAGACCAGACCAGACCAGACTAGACTAGACTAGACAAGACAAGACTAGACTAGACCAGACTAGACTAGACCAGATCAGACCAGATCAGAGTTCTGGATCATCAACTGTACCAATCTTTGTTTCTGAGTACTGACAGTGAATAAAACACTTCAGTATCTTCTAGAATCCCTGAAACCACAACCTGTGGTTTTCACTGACGACAGATCACAGAGAAATAACGAACGTGGCTTCACTGAACTATTTAATTGGAGCAGAGAAAAGTGTGGGTTTTGGTTTTTGCAGCTTGAAGAGCCGTTTGTTCAGCGTGTGTTTCCTCCGCAGCAGCAACATTAACTCCATGTTCACACTTTCATTTGGTGCTTTGGTGGTTTTTAACATCGCACAGACGACCAGAGTTTACTTTATTAAACATTGATCAATGAAACTTCTGTTTTTTTATCTGCTGACCTCGTTGGATTAACTCATTAAACACATTAGTTCACGGCATTAAGACTTCAAATGTTGACTCTACCACAGCTGTAACAGTGATGATGTTACTGTGATGATGTTACTGTGATAACGTTACTGTGATAACGTTACCGTGATGATGTTACTGTGATAATGTTACTGTGATAACGTTACTGTGATGATGCTGTTACTGTGATAATGTCACTGTGATGTTACTGTGTTCATGTTACTGTGATACTGTTACTGTGATAATGTCACTGTGATGTTACTGTGTTCATGTTACTGTGATAATGTTACCGTGATAATGTTACTGTGATGATGTTACTGTGATAATGTTAGTGTTATTTATTTATTATTTATTATTATTATTTAATTATTGTTAGTTAATGTTAGTTTTAGTTTTTCCTGCCGCTCGGTGCAGAATCCTCTTCGTCAGAAACGTCAACGAGTCTCTGGACTTTTCTCCACAGTTTGACCTTTACGGCCGTCTGTGCCTGAGGTAAAACGTCGACACTCACCGAACATGTTGCCAATATGTCCGTTTCTCGTCAAAGGCCGCAGCTCGTTCTTGCCCCAGGCGAAATGCTTGTAGTTGTCCCAGGCAAACTTCATCATCTGCAGCAGGAACAGAGCACAGAGAGAACGGTCAGTGGAGAACCAGAGGCCAGAACCCACAGCCAATTAAAACGGTGAGGCTGGAGGTCATTGATCAGCACAGGATTAGGAAAGTTAGACAAGAAAACTGAATGGGTTTTTTTTCTTTGCAGCCTTTTCCATCAAGAATAAATAAACTATTTAAAATATGGGATTGATACGATTTGCCTGGACTAAAGAAGAGAGAAACACAAACAGATCACAGGATAAAATATAACTTTTGATTTTTTTTTTTAAATAATAAATATGCAAAGATAAAATTAAATTAATCTTCAACTTTTATGCAAATTTGAACACAGAAAATATTTTTTATTTTGTGGAAACCAAAACTCAGTATCATAATTTGTTGGTTTGAAAAATGATGAAGAACCGAGCATTTACACAATTTTACCAAAATGAAAAAAAGAAACAAAAAAACCCCAGAATTTTCAATCAGTAACACCAGCAAAATGAAACCGCTCATATTTGAACCATAAATAACATTTGTTCAGAGTTGTAATTTCTATTAAGGTGGTATTAAAATTCCACTCATCGTTAGACAAAAACAAACAAACGCAGCGCAGAGACCAACCAGCAGGGCTGTCAGAGGAAACCAAACACTTCAAGGCCGCGCGTGATTATCTGACAAAACCAGTGTTTTTAAAACGGTACCTTTGGCACCGGCAACCTTGAGCTGCTCCGTAATATTTTATGTTTTCAAAAACGGTAAAAACTGTTAGAAGAAGAACACGATCACTGTCGTGTGCTGCCGTTTCATTCCAACCGAGGAAAACAAAAACCTGACGCTGTTGTTGTTGTTTTTAAAACGCCCCTGTTGCTGTGATGTGTCTGGGTCAAAGGTCAAACGTGTGGGAGGACTCAGATCATACGGCCGTGGGATTGCTGTTGTTACAACTCATCATTACAACGTACACACACACACGCGGGGCCGATCGATCGAAGCCCTGAAGCTGAATCACCGATGGAGCAAACAGATGCAGTAATGAGTTTTTTTTTGGAGGCACAGGAACCGACGTGTTCCGCTGAGACGCCGCCTGTTCTTATGAGGACTGTTTGTTTATGCAGAGAAGATCGATATCTAAACACAGCACCAGAGACTGCCATGAATCAGCCGCCGACCGGGGACGCCACGTGTCAACGTCAGTGCAGCACGGGTCACAAAACATCTGCCGGACCAGGAAGTGACACGGACGCAGCCTGTGGCCAAGTGGTTAAAGAACGGGGCCTGTGATTGAAGGTGTGTAACGACAACAGTGATATGTTACAGCTACAGTGTGGGAGGAAGGAGGAGTCGTTTCTCCAACTGTTGACGATAAAACTATTTTGAAAGAACACTAGACCTGTGTGTACTTTTACTATTCCCTCCTTTTCTGGAGTCAATTTCTTTGTCAGGGATTCAAAACAATCGTGGAGAAAAAGAGTATAGATTCAAACGTGGTTTCAAACACAGACTGTGCGGGCCACATGGCCGGGGCCGCCTCCCGATGGCTGAGGAACACTGGCCAACATTCACTGGCAGCAGCCGCCACGCTGCCCCATCTGTGGTCCACGCCCTGGATGTTTTCTCTAAATAAAACACCTGTGGAGTTAAATCTGTAGAGAAGGAGCTGCTTTGAACGGTTAACAAGAGTGAGGTTTCAGAGAGGACATCAGGACGGGACTGGAACTATTCTCACAGCCACTACGTTCTGTTAGAACAAAACCCTAACGTTCTTACAGTTAGGCCATTACGTACAAGGTTGCAGCTCACATGCTGCCACACAGGGGGCGCCATTTGGCACACGAGGTTCCTCTGTGAATAATGTAACAGATATGCCGTGTATTATCACTGATTAAACATTCAAGGGTGAGGTTTTTTAAATGGCTCCCCCTACTGTTTACTTTGACAATAACGTTCCTGTTCCTGACAGAACAGAACAAAGTACCAGGATAAGCACAAAAAAAAAAAACGTAAAGAAAATACAGCCTACGTCATAGCTATTGACAGAGACGTAAATATACATAAGTTACGTCTTGGAGCACTTGACACTTCCTCCACCGTGCACATTTTCTAATTTAAGTTTGGTTTCACCAGCAGGGCTGCATTTTAAACAGGGAAAGGCTCTGGGCGGATCAGAGCCAATAAATTACAGCCAGCAGCAGCAGCAGCAGCAGCAGCAGCGCGGCCTGGCAGCTCCAGGACACAGATGCATTAATGAGCTGCTGTGTCATCATGTGAAACCTGGGGGACGTTTGGTGGAGAAAGCACAGGATCAGCTCTCTCACACCAGCTCCCCCTGAACTTCTCACCTTAATTTCCCCCAGCTCCATCACGTGGACAAATACACACTTCATCCTGTTTCCAGTATTAACCAGGGTCTGGGCCACAAACAACAGCAGCCTATTAAATAATCTGTTACTGTGACAGAGCCTTATGGGTTTCTGAAGGCCACTAAGTCCTGGTGCTGAGTCAGCACAACGACAGAGTCTGTGAAGCAGCACTGGGATCAGGCCTGAATTCATCAGTACCTGACTGGAGATCAGATGATCAGCAGGTGATTTAACGGTGCTGTTACAATACTGGTTGATGGGAAGTGACAGGAACTGTCTCTTTAATTTTCTGTAAAATTTAGAAATAAAAAATATTTCAAAAAATACCTCCGTAGTCATGGTGAGAATTACTGGATCTTAAGGAACTAATTACAACGTTAACGTTAGCTACCTGGTACTGATGCCAGAGCTAGCGTTAGCTACAACAGTCCTGTTACAGACACCAGAGCTAACGTTAGCTACAAGAACAAATGACAAGATTTCGGTCTCAGTTCCATCTGTTTTTACCAGGAGCGTTCTCCCTTCTTTCACTTCTTCTTCAAGCACACAAGTGAAAAAGATTTTATGAAATCACATCTTGTCGAACACAGAATTGACATTGATTTTTAAATCAGCGTTCACAATGCAGCTTCACCCTGTTGTTTGTTACAGAATGCGCCCGAACTTGGACACCTGACAGTTTGGCAGCTACGCTCACCGCTCTCTCCAAAACCAATCATTAGGAGAGATATGTGGCCCGTGCCAGCTCGTCTCCAGAGTGCCTCCCGCTGTTAGGCTCTGGCTTCCAAAGCACAATGAAAGATTCATTCCAAGAGCGGGGGGGCGGGGGAGGGAATCGCCCTAAGGAGCCTATTAAAATGTCTGGACCGGGGTCTTTAATGGTGAGGTAGGTGGACCTGGAATATAAATGTGCCTAAGTGTTCCTGGTAGAGCAGGCTGATGATTAATGATAGAGAGAAAGACGAGATGTGACAACGATTAAGGAAAGACCAGACTTCGCCTTGGGGACTGACGACGAGTGAAACTAAAACGTCTCACTTCTCAGGACGCTGTGCAAAACACAAAATAGTGAAAAGTCAAATCAAATTCTGACTTTTTAGGCTCTGCACCAACTTGGAAATGATTTTTGCTCCCAGAAGAACCAGTACGACCAACAGAGAAGAAGAAAATAATCATAATAATTTGGACTTTATTGACCCCATATTTGGGAGATTCGTGCCACATGTCAAGCCAGAGAGACAGACAGACAGACAGACGTCATGACAGACAGACAGACAGACAGACAGACAGACAGACAGACGCGCTAACGGCTACACTGAGGACAAAGTTTTAATCCAAAGTCCTAACGATTGTTATCGATCAGACATGAAACTGGTCTGTGTGACATTGGACCAGTCACAAAGTGAGAAACTAGTAGAGGGGGCAGAAGACCAGCTGGAGCTTAATGGTATTTGTATAGCTCCAGCTCAGTGGGCAGAAGGGCAGTTGTCGTATACCTGGGGTGTTTGGAGATTTGGGAGCATTAAAGGATGACACAGCAGAAAGGACCAAGGACAAAGAGACGGACTGAGGGACAGGAAGTAAGACCAGGTTGATTCTCCAAAGTCGTCTTTACCCTCAGGTAAAGGTAAGGGTTAGGGGTAAAGAACGGTACTGCACCCCAGGACAATGACAGTTAGCTTAGCCTAGAAACTTTAGCGTCTGTTTTCTGGAGTAAGAAAGAGGCCAGGAGGAATTTTGACAGGATCTCAGGAGCACGAAAGTTAGTTCCTAATATGGTCAACACAGAAATGAGCAGCAGTTATGTAACATGTGATAAGAATATATTTGTGATTTTCCATTATCTCCACTGGTTCTCGTCCACAGGCCGTTAGGGAGCTTATTAAAAGAGCGGGAAACAGACGAGCCACCGTTCCTGAGCGTCTCCAATTATCCCCGGTCCAATCTACATGCCATCATCTCCAACAACTCACTCACAGGAAGGTCCACACGGAGCTGTTAATATGATGCCCCGTCATGTGTGAAGCAGCGCTGGGGTATTAATGTCACACATGCTGAGGAGGCAGAAACTCCGAGCGTCGACTGCAGTGACTCCTGGGAATCTTTACAGGAGACGACTGTGATGTCAATGCTGCTCCAGATTTCCAAAATTCAACGCTAACTTTACAAAGTGTTGTTTGTCGAGGTAACGGTTCCCCAGGCCCTGGTTACACAGGATTTATAGTCAGAGAGATACCTGCCAAAATAAAAGCCCTGACTTGGACAGTTGAGGGTTGGATGGAGAGGAGAGGAAGAGGAGAGGAGGGGAGGTGACTGACGGTAGAACAGCAGCCAAGTTAGACATGAGGCTGAGCTGGAGGTGACGAAGATGAGGAGATCTTCACTGAACGTGACCAGGACGGACCAGAAAAAAGGATCAGAAATGAGCCGATGAGACAGGGACGGTTAGGAGATGTTTGGAGATGAAGTTAGAGAGGTAAGGTGGAGGAGGTTTGGACAAGAAGGGAGAGACAGAGAGGAGAGGTTGGATGTAGTGATGGAGAAGATGGAGATGGTGAGTGAAACAGTAGAAGAGGAAGATGACCAGTTGACAGAAGAAGAAGGAGGAAGGAGAACATTCAGGAGACGAGAAAAGTTGAGAGGATGTGAAA